AAGTCGTTCGCGTATCTGTACAATCTTCTCGGTCGTTTCTCGAATGATCTCCGGACCAGTGAGAGAGCTGTCAGGAACTCTTCCTTTAGCTAGTTGAGTGTCACCCACCTCAGCCCAGCACAGAGGGGATCTACACTTGCGGCCGTAGAGGGCTTCGAATGGGGCTGCCTTGATGCTCGTATGATAACTATTATTATAAGAAAATTCCACAAGAGGTAAGTGTGTGTCCCATGACTTACCGAAGTCAATTACACAAGCTCGCAGCATATCCTCTAAGGTTTGAATCGTCCTCTCACTCTGTCCGTCGGTCTGCGGATGGTAGGCTGTACTCATGTCCAGCCTCGTCCCTAGTGCTTCTTGCAACGATTGCCAGAACCTAGAGGTGAATCTACTATCTCTGTCTGAGATAATAGAGATAGGGACGCCATGTAGTCGTACTATTTCTTTAATGTATGTTCTAGTGAGTTTCTCCATCTTGTCCGTTTCCTTGATGGGTAGGAAATGTGTGGACTTAGTCAACCTATCGACAATGACCCAAATAGTATCTAATCCACCCGTTGTCTTGGGAAGTTTGGTTATAAAGTCCATTGTGATCCGCTCCCACTTCCATTCTGGTATCTCAGGTTGTTGGAGAAGTCCTGATGGCTTTTGATATTCAACCTTGACTTTCGCGCAAGTGAGGCACTTACTCACAAATGTGGCGATCTCCGCTTTCATGTTTGGCCACCAGTATAGCTTTTTGAGATCCAGATACATCTTATCTGAACCCGGGTGGATGGAGTAGCGAGTGTTATGCGCTTCCCTCATAACCAAATCTCTAAAACCTCCATGGCGTGGAGTCCAGATTCGGTCCATGAAGTAGTAGGCTCCGTCACCCTTTACCTCCAAATTTTTATCCATTCCACGTAGAGATTCTCCCAACACGTTCTCGGGCTTTAAGGCTTCCAGCTGAGCCTCTTTGATCTGCGTGGAGAGATGCGAATGAATAGTCATCGTCAACGACTTGGTCTTTCGACCAGTATACTCCTTCCTGCTCAGTGCATCTGCTACTACATTGGCTTTTCCCGGGTGATATCTAATTTCACAGTCGTAATCGTTAAGTAGCTCGACCCATCGACGCTGCCTCATGTTGAGTTCTTTTTGGTTCATTATGTGTTGGAGGCTTTTATGATCAGTGTATACCACACTCTTCGTCCCATATAAGTAGTGTCTCCAGATTTTTAGTGCAAAAACAACCGCTCCTAACTCGAGGTCGTGCGTAGTGTAGTTCGCCTCATGGGTCTTTAGCTGTCTCGAGGCATATGCGATAACCTTACCCCGTTGCATCAAGACACAACCGAGCCCCTGGTTGGATGCATCACAGTATACGACAAAATCTTCTGTCCCTTCGGGAAGGGATAATACTGGTGCGGTGCATAGGGCTCGCTTCAGGGTTTGGAATGCCTTCTCCTGTCTTTCCTCCCAGTCGAACGGTACTCCTTTCTGTGTCAGCATAGTGAGAGGTTTCGCAATCCGAGAAAAGTTTTGAATGAATCTACGGTAGTAGCCAGCGAGGCCTAGAAATTGACGAATTTCCGTAGGCGTCTTCGGTGCTGACCAGTTCTCAATAGCTTTAATCTTGGAGGGATCCACATGAATTCCTTCTTCACTAACCACGTGACCTAAGAATTCGACTCTTCGGATCCAGAACTCGCACTTAGAGAACTTCGCATATAACTTTTCGGATCGCAACGTTTCCAAGACTCGTCGTAAGTGATCCTTGTGTTCTTCCTCGTTCCGAGAGTAAACGAGGATATCGTCAATGAAGACGATGACGAACTGATCCAGGTATGGACGACACACTCTATTCATCAAGTCCATGAATACTGCGGGGGCGTTGGTCAGTCCAAAGGGCATCACTACGAACTCAAAGTGTCCGTAGCGGGTTCGGAAAGCTGTCTTCGGAACATCTTCCTCGAGTACCCGTAACTGATGATACCCAGATCTAAGGTCAATCTTGGAGAAGTAACTTGCTCCTTGTAGTTGATCAAACAGATCGTCGATACGAGGGAGGGTAGCGATTTTTAACCGTGAGTTTATTGAGTTCTCTATAATCGATGCACATCCGAAACGATCCGTCTTTCTTTTTCACGAACAAGACCGGAGCTCCCCAAGGTGAGAAACTCGGTCTTATAAAGCCCTTGCTGAGCAGTTCGTTGAGTTGGCCAGATAGTTCTTGCATTTCGGCGGGCGCTAGACGGTAGGGCGACTTAGCTACGGGGGTAGCTCCTGGAATTAGGTCGATTCTGAACTCAATCTGACGTTTGGGAGGTAGGCCGGGAAGATCCTCCGGAAAGACATCAGGGAAATCGCATACTACGGGAATGTCTTTTGGATCTTTCGATTTCTGGTTAGTGTCACGACATGGGCAAGAAAGGCGCGATATCCTTGCGTAAGTATTTCTGAGCCTGAACACTGGAGATGATACGAAGGCTCGTACTCGGCTTATCTCCATATATCAAGAGGGTTTCGTGATTTGGAAGGTTCAGACGAATGGCTTTGTCGGAACATAGGATATCGGCGCAATGGAGACTCAACCAATCCATACCAACAATGACATCGAAATTTTTGATTGAGACTGGCATAAGATCGATTGGGAATGAGTGATCGTCTAACATGAGAGTGCACCTATGTAGATTTCGCTAGAGCTTTCTGTTTTCCCATTAGCCATTTCTACGACGAATGTTTCTTTTAGTGGTTGAGGGGTTTGTTTGAGTAAGTGTTTAAAGTTATGATTTACGAAGCTTCTTTCTGCACCACTATCAAATAAGACACAGGCATAGGAGTTGTTGAGAAGAAACGTACCCGTGACTACTGTGGGATCTGCTACCGCTTCATTGTGACCGATAGCGAGTAGCCTTCCAGTTCCTCCAGCATTTGTGGTCTTTGGACAGTTTCTCTTAAAATGACCCGCCTCTCCACAGCCATAACAAGTTGGGGTCACTCCCGTACCAGGAACCTGCGTGATAGGTTTGGGAGGGGCCTTACAAAATCGGACAGTATGGCCCTTTCGACCGCAGTTGGAACACTGCAGTTCACGGCAGGGGCCGTTGTGGTGGAAAGGGCACTTGGGACACTTGGGCAAGTTTCCACTGTAAGCTTTTGGCGGGGCTGGAGCAGCTGGAGTAGTCGGGGTGGTGGCAGCATGGACCGCCACAATTTGTTGGTCCTTTGAGGAGGTTTGAGTTTTCTTGCCCTTCATCTTATCCCATCGCTTCCTCTTTCTGTCAGATGAAGCGGGCGGTGCAGTGGTTGTTGTGGTTGCTGTCGCTGGAGTGGAGGAGATTTCGTGGTTGATCAGACTCTGGGCCAATTCCTTGGCGCTATCAAAAGTTGTAGGGCGTGAAGCTAGAACATTTCCTCGATACGGGGGCACTAAACCCCAGATGTACCGTTCAATCTTCTTGTTCTCTGTAGGGATCATATTGGGGCACATAGCTGCCAAGTCGCAAAACCTGGCCGTATAAGCTGTTATATCGGTCCCCTTCATCTTGAGGTTCCAGAGTTCTTCCTCAAGTTTCTGAATTTCGCCCCTAGGGCAGTACTCTCCTCTCATGAGGTCCTTCAGAGTGTCCCAGCCCATAGCATTGGCTGTGACCAAGGAAAGTGAACTAACATGGCCGTTCCACCATGTCAAGGCCCTGTTGGTAAGGGTAGCAGTAGCGAACTTGATTTTGCTCTCCTCGGGACAAGAGCACATCTCGAACACAGCTTCGGTTCTTTCGAACCATCGATAATGTCAGAATTCCTCCAGTACCATCGAAGAAGGTGGGTTTACAGTTCATGAAATCCTTATAAGTACATCCCTGCACTCGATGATGGACTTCACCGAACCTGGAGTTACCACCGCTCGCATCCCCAGAATTCATTTGGGCCATGGCTGCTGTCACGGCCGCAGTCACCGCTGTTTGGAAATAACACCGGATCGATCTGTGGAGGAGGGGTGGTGGAGTAGGGGTTTGAGTTGCAGGCCTTCCTCTGGCGGGACGCTTTCGTGGAGGCATCCTTT